AGAGATCTCCTACAGCTTCTACTAACCTACGCCAGGGATTGAACCAGCGACCTTCTGCATGCAAAGGAGGCGCTCCGCCGCTGAGTCACGACCCCTCTCCCAAACCCACACAGATTCTATTAATAAATCTAGCAATTATTTTGGACACATGGGGGGGTGCTTCTTGAAAGGACTTTCTCGGAAGAATTCTGTAAAAAAGACACCACTCAGACATCCAGATATCTGGATTTCCCCCCTCCCCTTAATCTGTGCCCTCTGCTTCTGCAGCTTGTGCCCTCTTGCTCCGCCACAGATTCGGGGGGGGGGGGATTCACTGACCTTTTCCAGCTTCTCAAAATGTTCTCGTAAGAACTTCATGGGACGGTCCGGCTTGGCTATACAGAGGTTGACGATGCATTCTTTGAGAATCTGTTGGATGTTGTGCTTCTGGACGTACAGTCCGCAGCCCTTCAAGTTCTCGTCATCTTCCATGTTGCAAGAGGAGGAGGAGGAGGAGGCCATCTTGAGGCTCGGCAACAACCCTGGGCAAGAAAAGTGCGTGAGTTTAGCGGAGCAGAAACTATTCTCCAAAACAGGGGTCATTTCCTACAGGAGCAGAGCTCCGGCAATAAAGAGCCCAGGGGGCGGGCACATGCAACAAGCCCCACCCCCTGCTCCCAGAAGCCCTCAGTCAGAGCAAGAAGCAGCCAGGTAAGTTGCAGAGCCCCCCCCCCCGGACCAAAACAGTCCAGTGGCACCTTTAAGACCAAGTTTTATTCATGTACAAGCTCTCCCTCATCTGCGAGGACAGATCTGCACGACCCCCCCTCCCATATGCTATCAATCCAAAACAGTCCAGTGGAGCCTGAGCAGTGGGTGTTGCCTTCTGACACACTTCCGGTGATGTCAGGGGGTGTGGCATATGCAAATAACTTTTGCTAATGAGATATGCTAATGAGCTCCTGCACCTCTTTTTCTACGAAATGACCCCTGCTCTGAAATCATGGGACAGAACACAAGCATTGAAAAGTGAGGCCATCTCCTTCTGTCCAAGACCGGCTGCGTCCTTCAGCCACTTCCGGTTATGCTAGCAAAAAGGAAGACATGAAAAAATCCTACCCTGCAGTCTAAAAAGTCTCGAATAGTATATCATGTAATATTTTGTGTAGTAGTCGTCTTAAGCCCAGGGGGATAGGAGAAGAAGAAGAGATTGGATTTATACCCTGCAGCTTACAGTCTCCTTCCCTTCCTCTTCCCACAACAGACACCCTGTGAGGCAGGTGAGCGTTGAGAGAGCTCTTTTGAGAACAGCTCTGAGAGAACTGTGACTGACCCAAGGTCACCCAGCTGCTGCATGGGGAAGAGTGGGGAATCAAACCCGGTTCTCACAGATTAGAGTCTGCGCTCCTTAACCACTACACCAGACTGGCTCTCTTAGAAGGGTGTAAGTCTGCTCAGGACCTCATCAATAGGTTCTTCACTAGAGAGCTATTATAAATAAACAAAAATAACAGGGTTACCAAACACGATGGGATAAGAACATCAGAAGATCCCTGCTGGATCAGACCAGTGGTCCATCTAGTCCAGCACCCTGTCTCACAGAGAGGCCAACCAGTTCCTCTGGAGGGTCAACAATGGGGCATAGAAGTCAAGGCCTTCCCCGATGAGAATCAGAAAAGCCCTGCTGGATCAGACCAGAGATCCATCTAGTCCAGCATCCTGTCTCACACAGAAGCCAATCAGTTTCTCTGGAGGTCCAACGTGAGGGCACAGAGGCTGAGGCATTCCCCTGAACAGAACATCAGAAGAGCCCTGCTGGATCAGACCAGTAGTCCATCTAGTCCAGCATCCTGTCTCACACAGAAGCCAATCAGTTTCTCTGGAGGTCCAACGTGAGGGCACAGAGGCTGAGGCATTCCCCTGAACAGAACATCAAAAGAGCCCTGCTGGATCAGACCAGTGGTCCATCTAGTCCAGCATCTTGTCTCACACAGTGGCCAAATAGTTCCTCCGGATGGCCAACAACAGGGCATAGAGGCTTTCCCTAATGTTGCCTCCTGGCTCTGAGATTCAGAGGCTTAGTACCTCTGAATGTGGAGGTTCCCCTCAGCCACCATGGCTAGTAACTCTGTATATCTAATTTTCTTCCATTTTTCAGCACAGATTTTAAAACACACTGGGATTTTTAATGATAGATTTGACCATGGATGTCAAACATGTGGCCCGTGGGTGGATCAGGCCCTCGGAGAGCTCCAATCCGGCCCACAAGGACCTGGCTGTTTCCAGCTTCCTCCTCCAGTTTTTCTGCTGCTGCCACATCACAGCTTGCTTTACCAGACTCTCAATCACACAGGAGAGATAGAAAGGCAAGCCTCTCCTGTGCAATTGAGAGAATCTGGTAAAGCACTGGCTGAGGCTCCTCCCCCTCCTCCTCCTCCCACGGAGGGGGAGGGAACGAGCCAGAGCTTGCTTCCTGGCCAGGATGCCTCAATTGTATACAGGAGACAAGGGGAAGCCTTTCTTCCCTTCCACTGACTGAGGCTCCTCCCTGAAGGGAGAGCATGCTTTGCTGGACTGCCTCAATCGCATGGGAGAAATACCAAGCACCTTTAAGACAAACAAAGTTTTATTCAAAGTATGAGCTTTTGTGTGCCTTGCTACAGTGTATGTATATTCAGCTCCTTATGCTTTGTGTGTGTGTGTTTTGTTGGGTTCGTTATGCCAGGGCTCTCCTGGGTGCAACTGGGTTCCCTCTCCCTTTTCACTGTATTCATGCCCTCATAATCCAGTCTTTCTCATTAAGAAAGCAATGTGAACTATTTTAGTCCAGTCTTAATTTAATCCAGTCTTTCTCATTAAGAAAGCAATGTGAACTATTTTAGAGGAGGAATAACAAGCCAGTGAGGTGGATTAGGCTGAGAGTGTGTGTCCAGACCAAGTTCACCCAGCACATTTCCTTTGTAGAAAGTTGTAGTTATTTCACTGGGGAAGAAAAACACATGGCCCTCAGCCTGTGTCAGGATGCCTTCTCATGTTCCTGACCAACACATGAAGCAATTTATGTACAAAAAGTTGCAATGCCCAGCCATTTCATGTTTTCCCCTAGACCCTAGGCTCAGAACACTGAGCAGGAGATTTCTGTAACGAATGTCAATAAATCAAAAGTTGGTTTGCAGCTTACAGATACACATCCAAAAAGCATACTCAAGATTGCTACAGCACAGACATTTTGATGCAATAATTCAGAGCAAGAGTTATCAATTATCAGAGACTGTTAAAGACACAAAATATTGCAAGAGAGTGTTTTAAGGACATTTAAAGTTTAAAAAATATTTAATTGTATTTGTCTGTATCCTTTATAAAGTTTATATCTCTGCTACCTGGCATTACATTTTATGACACACATGGCCCGGCCCAACAAAGTCTCATTTATGTCAGATCTGGCCCTCATAACAAATAAGTTCGACACCCCTGTATTAGACTGTCCCAGAATGGTTTGCTATACCAAAATGGTTTCCTATAAAATATCTCATCATTATTGCAGGCAGGGGTCGTTTCGTAGAAAAAGAGCTCAGGGAACTCATTAGCATAACTCATTAGCATATGCCACACCCCCTGACGTCACCGAAAGTGTGTCATAAGGCCACACCCCCTAACATCACCGGAAGTGTGTCATAAGGCCACACACCCCGCCCCCAACGGTCCCGGCCGCCGCCGGCGGGAGTGCAAGAAAGCCCCGCAAAGGTCCTCCCTGGCCCCAGGCAGGCAGGGGTGGGGAGAGGCAGGGAGGAAGCAACTTACCCTCCCCCTTCTCCCGC